TCTTTGGTTTTTCCCCCTCCCAGTGGCTTTCTGCAAGGTGCCCCCATGGCTCTGGGGGTTGAGGGGTCTATATGTAACCTCGAGGAAAAACCCACATATTGGAACAAAACCCAGCATCAGAAATAGATGAAAGCATTGACCATGGGTGAGGTAGGTCCCAGAAGACCTGAGCTGTTGTCTCTAATAAAAGAGCATGGCAAAAAGCATTAAACAGAAGAGCAGCTTAATTTCCCTGCAGTGTTAGGGCTGCTGCTGCCTGTAACTGATGGGGTTAGTTATAGACTGTAATATGTTTTCCTTGTGTAGCAAAGTCCCATTGGATTTTCTAGGTGTTAGTATAACCAGAGCTGAGTGATTCAATCTCAGCTGAGCAGAAGATGATCACTCTTCCCCGCTCTGCCTGTGAGGCCCATCCATCGTTGTGCATGGATCCTGCCCATATCTCTCTCCAATGGGTGAAGCCTGGGCTTTTCCTCCTGTACAAGATTGTTTTCTGGCTGATTTATGGTTTTTGGAAAGTTAATTGATCCCTATTTTAATCTCCTTGTGCTTGGAAAAGAGACATAGATCATTTTAATTGCAGAAGAGAAAAAATGAGTTTATGTGACATAACTCAGGCAGCGATGTTCCTTTGGTACAGCATCAGCATCATTATATCAATTAAATCATGCTATGTGTTACACTGAAGCAGGCTTCTTTTCTTCTTGCTGGTTGCTCAGTGAGTTATTTGATCAGATACTGCAGTGCCTGAAGTGAAATTGAACGTTTCTGAGCTCCCAAAGTTCTGAACATTACAGCTGTCCCCTTTGAACACGTTGCTGTGGTTATGGGCCTGGCAGCACTGGTGGGGCCAGCATCTGAAGTGGCTTTTTGGAAGATTTGGGATAGGAAAAAGGTTTGGAAAATAATTAGCAAGGACTGAATTATAGTGTACCTGGTTATTGTTCCCCAATTTCTCCAAGCTCAGCCTTACAGAGGCCGCAGCAGCTCCAGCACTGAGAGCTGGGGGGATGCTGAGAGGCCACCATGGCAGCTCATTCTACAATATCCATCTCCATGGGGAATTTGGCAACTCATTACATTGGTTTACATAACATTACACATGCCTGAGTTACTGAGGCAGCCTGGCAAATCTCTGCATTGCTTCTGCAAAGCCGAGTTGTTCACTGCAGTGCTTTCTGAAGGGCATTCCCAAGGCTTGTGCTAAATTGAACCCAATTCCTGCTAGTGTGTCTCTGTCACCTGCAAGCACCTTGCTTATGAGCTGAGTTCCTCTCCCCAGCCTGGGAGCACACTGAAGCACTGCTTGGGAGAGCATCCTTGGCTGGTGGCTGGATGAAATGCTTCTGATTGGAAATAGCTCTGACTTTACAGCCAGCAAAAGAGCAAAGAGGTGGGTTTCCTTGCGTGGGGCACGACTCCAGTCATAAATCCAGTCATGCTGGAGGGTACTGGTGTGGTGCAGTGCAAAGAACCTGGCCTTGTTGACTGCAGTTTGGGAATGGCAGAAACCCATGCGTCTTCTGTGCCCATCTCTGTACTTCCCTGTGAGGTCACTGCTAAAAACCGTAGTTTCTCCTCCATGAGAAGAAAATGGACTTTTCCATGTGCTCCATATTGGAAAGAAAAAATGAAATGCTGCATTTCCCTATGAAAATCCTGCTCACTACAAATGCCACACAACTAATGTGAGGTTTACTACTGGGTACTACTGACCACTTATTTCACTACCGTGTGCCCATTCAGTTCTACTGAATCAACATCAGTAGTAGGAGACCCCTTCCAATGGGATGCATTGGACCAGCTATGAACCCATAGATGAAACCTGGTGGAACAGCAAAACCCCCCGATGTCACAGCCTGATTCTGGCTTGAAGGACTCTGCCCACATCACCAGGCTGATCCCAACCCACCTGGCAGGACTTCATGCTCACATCTTCGTGTTTTCTCTGCTGGACCAATTCTGATCGTTATTATTTGGGCCATGCTTCCCAGGTTTTAAATTATTCTGTCTCAACTAGCTGGTGGCATTTGTTACATGTCATGCAATGTTCCTGGTAATTAATTGGTATTTAATTAATTAAGGGATAATGGCATTCAATTAAGGGATGCCTGTGGAATGCTGTCATTGGGTAATGAATGGCTTCCTGCTGCTCAGGCAGATCTGAGGCATTTGTGGAAAGTAAATAGAGAGGAGAAGCTGCATCATTGGTTCTCTTGGCAGCAATCCTGATGTGCCACCACTGGCAGGGATGGTCACAGCATGGATGGTGGCATCTCAGTGCTTCCAGCAGCTTCACAGCAACAGGGCTCCATTCCACACCCCTCACCCAAGGAACAGAGCAGGTCGAGCTTTTCCCCTGATGAATGTAAACTCGCTGTTGCCCCCACAGAAATCAAGGACTGCGGTATCTGGTAGAAATTGGGCCTTGTGTCCTCTTGCCTTTGGAGCAGAGCACAGAGAAACTGTGAATTTCCTATGACATGAAGACAAATGAAAGTGGATTTCTCAAGCCAAACCATCTTGAATAAAGAGGGACAAATACTGAAGGAGAAGCAAGAGTGAGTCACTTTGCTTACAAACTCTCTGTGATGCTGTGTGTGCTGTGGGTATAAACATTTCTGATCCTTCTTGCTTCCCAGGCATCCTTCCCACCGTGGGCCATGCAGCTCTTCTTTCACCCCTTGGGAACTGGGTTTGTTCCAGGCAGAATGGGGATATAACAGGGCTGTGAGGGAGGTGGGCATCCCTCTGAGTGGTGTCTTCCCCTGGACCCACAGTTCAGCAAAACCTCACAGCTCCTTATTTCCCCTTCCGAGCCTTTCTGAGCTGCTGTACTCAGTGAGATGCAAAGTGAACATTCTGAAACACTGTAGTGCTTCAATTCCCCGACAGCTTTCAGGTTTTCCCTAAAAAGCCCCAAGCCATTTTTGTTCGGAGTGCACACTTCCAGCTGAGAACTGCAAAACAATTAAGGGGGAGAAAATGCAAATTGTACTTCATGGGTTGATTGCCGATGCCTCCTATAGAGGAATTGCCTGCTGGATCTAATTGTTTAACCCAGCAGTGTAATGACACTATTAATAATTAATTCTTTCTTTACATTGGCTCCTTACACACGTTTTGTTTTCATTATTTTCTGGCACTCCTGCATAACTAATTTTTGCTTTCTAATTCTATTACATATTTCAGCTGTAGTTGTGTATGAGCACGATGTGCACCTGTGCTCACTGACCTCTTGGTATTTTTGGTTGCTGTGAGTGAACTCTAGTGAAGTGAATGGGGCAGACACAGTGGGATATATACACCTTCCTGAGACCTTTGGGATGGAAAGTAATGCGGAAATGTGAACTCCAATTACAGCTCCAGCAAAGTCCACTTTCTAATTAATTGGAGATTAAGCTAAAAATAGAGCTGGTTATGTAAAACATAACTCGAAAGCCCTCATCCACCTGGTTGCACAATACCCAGAAGAATGATCCCTGCCAATACTTAATTAGGGATAGTAATGCCCCAGGATGTGGCTTTTGAGGGCACGCAGAAGGTCTGCTGGGATCCACTGGTGTGGGGCTGACAAACCTTGCTCCATCCATAGGAAGAAGACCCCAAAGCTCCTAGGAAGCCATCAGCTCATGTTCACCACTTGCAAGCCTGGAGGTTCCAAAAATCTTTGAAGCCCAGCACGTGGTGGTTTCCCCAAAGCAGTTTGCGTCTCTCTGTCTCTACAAGTTCCTATAAACACTATCATCGTGTGTCTGTATATAAAAGGAAGAAGAATGTGGATCCAGCCTCCACATCCATCCCCCAAAAAGGTCAAGCAATTCGGCCCAACAAAACCTCAACAAACACTCATCGAGCTTTTAATTGAGTTGTTTCTGTTTCATTAAAAAAAAACAAAACACACTGAAATTCTTCTGTGGCTTTTGCTGGGGTGGGAGGGCTGCCCTGCATGCCCTGCAGTGTGATTGCTGCTGGGGGTTTGGATACCTCCCTTATCCTTTATCAGTGGGAGGTTTGGAGGCCGCAGCTGGGGCAGGAGGTGACTCTCCAAGCTTCTACGGGTCCAGAGAGGGGGAGACTGACCTTGGGATTCTGCTGGGGACCAGTGACACTTCAGGGCAGCCAGAGTCTGTGTTCTGCTGCTCATCTTCCCTGCTCCTCTCAGGATCTTAAAATTCACTGTTTCTGATCAGGGGGGCCAAAGGTGTCATTGACTACCACAACCACATCTGGTGTCTACTCTGTCAGTGGGCAGCAGATCCAGCTGTGCATCCACTTGGCCAATCCAGCACCTCCATCACAAGAACATCCATGAAGTCCTCCTGAGATCTCCAGGACCACTTGCATTCCAACCCATCATCCACCCTGCTGGGTGGCTGTGACACTGCCCCACTCAGAGCCACCCACCCTGGCCCCTTGGTGCTTATCCACAAGTTCTTACCCAATCCCCATCCGGCAGAAGAGCCCCACATAGCTGAGCTCCTTCCATTCTCCTTTTGAGGTTGGGTTCAACCATCCAACAGCACCTGGATACAAGGAGTAGCCAAGAACTGGCTAGAATGATGGGGATTTAATTCTGATTGGTCTGACTATGGCTCTGCAGGAGATGCACTCCCCCTCTCACTTACTCATTTTTGGCTGGAGCCCCAAGTGTGAGGCTGGGCAGCGTTCAAGGATTTGTGTAAAAAAAGGAAAATATCTGCAAAACATCATGACCTCTCACGAAAAGAAGGTTCTGTTGAATCCCAGCTCTCCAGTTGCAGATATTACAGATGGGGAAGTTTTGCCAAGAACAGAAGGGAGTCAGATACGGAACTTCCATTAATTTAAAGGAAATGGAACATCTAAACCACTTGCACAGCTTTGAGCAGATGAGCTAAACATGTTTGCCAAAGAGATGGGGAGATTTGAATTCCTTTTTGACATCAACTATGTTTTATTACTTGAAACACCAGGAAAATTTGTTCACACAAAGATGAGGGCTCCTGCTGGATGGTAGCTTTTCCCCTGGTAATTCTCCCTGGGCCCCCTTGCCTTTTTTATGTCCCTTCACCTATGTTCATAACGTCTGGGGCAGCATGCATCCTTCCTGCCATGTTAAGGAGCATGCTGTCCTAGTTTTCATCTTGCAACACTTGTTGAAGGAGCAGCCTATACTCCCCACCCCAGGTGTGCCGATGCCCTGCGCCACCCACCGGCTTGGGGAACCCCCAGAGAGCCTCACCGCAGCCCTCACAACTGGTATTTCCTCAGCAGCTCGCTTTGCCACTGCCGTTTCTTATTGGGAAAGGCATGAGGGATCTTGATCTTCCGGAAGTCCTCGATGCACTTCCCCAGCTCGGACTGCAGCGCCTTCCTCTCCTCGCTCACCTCTGCGGCCACAGGGCTGCTCCCGACCCCGTTCTCCTTCACCGCCGTGTGGTCACTGTTACGCCTCTGCCCCATCTGCTTCACTTCCTCCAGCTTCTTCAGCGACTTGGACAAGTCCAGGGTGTTGGGGCGAGCTGGGCATTCTTCAGGGGCTTCTGGACATGGCATGGAGTCTGCAGGGCTGGGGTTCCCCCGCTCTGACTTGGAGTCTCTGCCTGAGATGCTCTCACCTGCGGATGGAGCAGGACTGGGCTCGCTGTGACTGCTGGTGCTGGAGGCTGCAGCATCACACTCACACAGGGTGCTGACAGGGTCCTGCTTTGTCCCTGGGTCTGGTCTGGGCTCCTCAGGGTCACTGCAGGCTGGGGATAAAGCAGAGAGCTGAGAGAGAGTAGAAACATGGCTTGTGATGCCATGGGGCAAAGCAGAAGAGCAGACATGTAAGTGTGTGGGTAGTGTGGTTTCATTGGGTTTCATTTCCTCTAAAATGTCTAAATTCTTAACCTACTGGTGTTGTTATTGTTTTTTTTTGGGGGGGGGAAGTGGGGAGGAGGGAAGGGAAGGAAGGTTTTGAGCTACAAAGCAGAGTATAAAATATTTCCATTTCAAATCCCTCAATCTAAACTTTGCCACCCATGGAAACAGAAAAACATAAGATCACAGGATATCTTGGGTTGGAAGGGACCTCAAACACCATTACCCCCAACCCATGGGCTGGCTGCCTCCAGCAGCTCAGGCTGCCAGGGCTCCATCCCACCTGGCCTTGAGCAGCTCCAGGGATGGGGCAGCCACAGCTCTCTGGCAGCAGGGCCTCACTGCCCTCTGAGTAAAGAATGTTTTCCTAACATCTAATCTAAATCTTCCCCTCCTTCAGTTTAAAACCACTTTGCCTTGTCCTATCACTAAATGTCACTTTATTTTTCTCCGAAAGCTTTTCTAAAGGGTTATTTTTCCCCTCTTCCTTTCTCTTTTCTTCTTTTTTTTTATTTTGACATTTACTTGAACAGCTTCAGCACAACACTTACCAGAGGTGGAAAGCTGAAATGTCATCCGTCACTGAGGAGCAGCCTTGAAGGCTGGATTTTCTTTGTCACATCTCACCAGGAAGTTACAGGGATGTATCTTAGCCCCAAATTCTTTGAGTGATGGAATAAAGTCTCTAAGTTCTTAGACTGCTTTAATCACCTTATCTGCAAGCCTCACAACTGCCTTTGTGGAATGGGGAACCGAGGCAAGGGCAGCGTAAGCTGATGCACTCAAATTCACATAAGGAGCCTATAGCTTAGCTGCAGGCTGAACTCACATCTCTTCCCTTCTCCAACATCTTAGCTCCTAGGCCATCCAATGACGATAGCAAACTTGGCATTGCGATTTCTCTCCCTGTGTCAGTACACAACTCAGTCACGACCTTCTGCAAATATGAGCAGCCTAATTCTGTTAGTTTAGGTATGAGAATGTAATTTGGGCCATTTCTAGGCGGCTGAGGCACTTTGCATAAATGGACTGATGACTCCTAATGACTGCTCTTCAGAAATACTTATTAACTGCCCATAAGCAATTTACTTAGCTTTGCCTTATCTCAAACGCCATAGCCTGCTCTGGTATGTTCTCACGCTAACATCTGCACAAATGGTCCTGCACACACTGAGAAGTGCAGATCTCAGCAGGATTTTATTTTCTCCCCACACGATGCTGAAACACAAGCTTCCTCCTGGCTGAACGTCTTGGCCAAGTACTGCAGCCCAAGCATCCACCTGCATCAGCACATGATCCCAAACTGCTAAGGGCTGGAGGGGAACCAAGGGCCATGCAGACCTGCAGGGGCTCTCCAAAGAAAATCAGATCCATGCTGGAATTTGCAGGATCCAGCAAGAGGCAGATGACAAGGAACAGATGTTCATCCTTCCCACTCTTCTGCACTGGTCACCAGCAGTTTTCCTGTGACTGGTACAAGGCACTCGGATCCATGAATCCTAAGGCCTAAGCCGTGGCATCAGTCCTTCTGACCACAGTTAAGAGTTTTGTGTGCTAGTGATTTCAGGAGCACGGGGACCTCTCTGGAATCTGACCTGTGCACAACCTAACACTGAGGCAGCTCAGTCTTCCAGGATATTGCCTTGCGATTGATCATCTCTAACTTGTGAATGTCCCATCCCTGGAATTGCTCAGGGCCAGGTTGGATGGGATCCTAGGCATTCTGACTTAGTGGGTGGCAACCAGCCCATGCAGGGATTTGGGACTGGATGGGCTTTAAGGTCCCTTCCAACCTAAGCCTATTCTATAGTTCTATAGCTCTGGACAAACAATTTCATTTTTCCCTGGGCTAAACTTCCCTCACATCGCATTTCTTGTCTATAGCAATATGAACCCCCGTGTCTGACAACATGTGGGTACAGCTCCTGAGATGACCCCAGCACACATCACCACTCTTCCTGAGTGCTCCTCACACTCAGCTGGGAGAAAGGATCTGTTACACTGACAGATTTTATCATCCTTTTTTAATTTTCTCAGACTTTTCTTCCTGCGCGACACTTTTGTCTGCTGTAGAGCATCAATTAGAGCACGGAAGTGACACTTCCAAGGCAGCCCCACGGTGCTGCTGGAAATCCTGCTGAGTGCAATTAATGGGCTCCTGCACGTGGCAAGCTCATACGTCGCAAAGGAAGAACACATTGTCCCAGCTCCTTGCTGCTCTTATGGATAGCACTGTTTTCTTAGTGCTTGACAAGGAGATGAACTCACCATGTGCCATGTCCCAAGCTCACATTGTTTGCTTTGTTCTGTGTCAGTGCCTCCAGCTCCAGAAGAGACCTGAGCCCAGAGGTCCAGCATAGCCCTGTGGCTCTGAATGAAGCATTCCTAGTTTCCTTTCTAGAAAAGAAAAGTGGCTGATGCCAGAGGGATGTTGCTGGGCTTTTAGGACAGATCTGTGTGTTGAGGAGTGAAAAGCAGTTCATACCTACATTGCTTCCCTGCGACAATGGGGGACTTTCAGCTCAGACCAGATTGGCTTCAAAGATGGCTCTTCCTCTTCTACTACTTTTTCAGACACCTACGTCTCACAGAAAAAGAGGAACTATTTTGTCCCAAACAAAAGCACTCTTTGAGCTCCTACCAGACAGTCAGACAGAGAGATGGGCTTTAGAGGGAAGCCCTCCCCACAGGCAGAAGCAGAGCTCTGTGCATCTCTGTTTTTGCTCTGTGGTTGCATTTTGTTGGTTCTTTCCTTCCAGATTTTAAATGAAAAACACCACCACCACATAGCTTGGGGTCAAAAAATCATGCCCCACTTTCTGCACAAGCTTATTCAACTCCTTCCTAGCCTCTCTGATGTAGCGTGTTGTGACATGGAGATGGAAGAAAGTTTCAGAATGAGCTGGAGGAGCTCACTCAGTTTGCATCCCTGTTTGAGCCTGAAGGAGGTGGGCACGGGCCCGAACCATTTGTTTGAACCAAAGTTTTGCTAGTACTAAAAGTGCATTCAGAAAACAGATAGATGCTGCCCCCCCCCCCCCCCCCCCCTAAATATTTCTCGTGCAATCTGATGGTGATGGGTGTACCTGCAGCCTACTCATGCTGGATGCAGAATAGCTGCTGCTCTGCCAGCTCCTTATCCCCGTGAATCTCAGGTCTCACCTCTGCCCAAAGTGATTATTGAAAAATCAAGCTGAGCCTGAAAAGTGATGTCTACACTTCTGTCTGTCTCTAATCCCACTTATTTCATCAAAGAAGGACAAGACTCTGTGTAAATAAATGGCTCTGACCCCATCTGCCCACAGCAGTAGCCTCTGCATTCCCAAGAGCCTCAATTAGCCTGGTTGTGCCAGTGAGACTGCACTAAATCTGCAGCTCTGGTGACACTGTGCATGGATTAACTGCTATGGTAACACCAGTAGGACCAGGACAAGCAGCTTTTGGCTTTAAACTTCCCTGCTAAAGACAAAACTCCTCCTATCCCCAATGGGGCAATAAACATATGTTGCTCCTACAGTTAAGGTTAGTTTCTGCAGCTGCAACATTGCAGCTAGAAGAAAACCCAAGCTACCCAGTGTGGATCCCTTGACAGATCCAATTCTGCAGCCTTGAAACAATAATCCAGATTGTCCTTTGTCACTCAGGTTGGACTTTGCCATCAGGAGGAGGTTGGGTGGGTGCAGGACTTGGGGATTTCACGTGTGCTTCTGAGAGCTGGCTGCAGGATGAGCAACTCCTCCTGGAGGGAAGGTTTGGCTCTGAGGGGCAAAGCTCTTAGCAGGACCTGCTGGTGCTGATGCTGTGAGATGTCCCAGCTGCAGGGAAAATCTTTTCTGAGAATAATGTCTGCCTGCAGTTCGCTGGAGGAGCTGAGAGATGCTTCCTGAAGCACACCAGTAGAGATGGAACCCCTACCTGATGGCCAGCAGTTCTGTCAGACAGACACTTAGCAGAATTGCTATGTTTCATTTTACTTTTGAGTCAGTGACTGCAGCTTTATGGCAGGGAGACGACTTGCAACAAGTTTTGTTTAGGCAAAACAGGATGAATTCAGACATGAGAGGTCAAATTACAGTGGCAGATGTTGCAAGCTGCTGCAGCTGCAGCCAGTGGATCCATGCTGACTCACACCAACAAACCTCTGCTCTGGGGAATATGGTTCAGTGCTGCATGAAGCAAAAGCAGCCTTCACTGTGCACTTCTTGCCAAGCCAATCTCTGCAGGTAAGACTTTCCAATTCCTTGGCAGGAGTCAGTCACCAATATTGCACATGGTAAATACTTTGCAAGAGGTGCTGCCCCACCATGAGGAGCTGCTCTCCCTGTGGAGAGATTTGCAAGCTGGAAGGGGCCAGGAGATTTTTCCAAGGGCATGGACTGGCCTGGGGAATGTCTACCTGAAGCAAACCATCACTAGCTGCATTAGGAACCCAGCAAGAGGAGGTTTCAGAGAAGTGTCAGAGTGGATGTCTCAGCGTGCGTTACTGCATTGGTCCTGGGATAATTTGTTCCCAGCCATGGGAAATTATCACTGTATGTGTTCCCAGGTGGGATGGTGGAAAGATGATGGAGGAAATAGAATGTGCAAATGGAAAAAAGGGAGCACAGATATTCTATGTAGTTGAGATTGGTAGGAGAAAAAGGTTTCTTACTTTTGTGTGTTTTTTGGCTATAAAATACTGTATGGGAACTGCTGAGTCACGGCCTGAACCTCTGATTGATCACCTGAGGCGAGCCTTGAGTCAGCCAGAGGAGCACAGGTGAAGGCAATTCTCCTGTGCTGCCGGAAGGGGGTGGAGCCTGGCTGCACCCCTCCTAGACCTATTTAAGAGCTGGCTACCAGTGGGGAAGGACCTCTTTTGGAGATCATCTCTCTTGGTGTCTTCTGGTGAGCTCAGCTGAAGGGTAAGCTCTTCCACTAATTCTCTTTTGTGATTGTTGTTTACTTTGCCTAATTCTCTTGATTATATTGTGATTATAACATCTTGATATCTATTGGTTACACAATTATATTGTAATTATAACATCTTGATTATACAAATACCAACAGTGGAACATTAAGTCTTTTACAGCTAGAAGTGTATGCCTACTAACTGGGTGTCATCTTCACTGGGTGCTCTATAAATGAGCTCAAGAAAGACAGGAGAATCTGGCAAAGCAGCAGCTCCTCATGCTGGGACCTGCATCTCCATGTCTCTTGCTGGGAGCTTCCACCAAATGGATACTGCTGCCTTCTGCTGTGTCAGCAGATGGCAGGGATTGCTTTGCAGTTTCTCAGGAGATCAGGGGCACTCATGTGTGACTGGGAGATGAGTGATCACTGGTTTTGGATGAGCCATCCTGATTGTGGAATTGTCTAAATGCTTACAACCCAGGATATATGATTCAGCCTTTCCATCTGATCTCTGCCATGGCATGTGCACAGGGAAACTTCTTCCTGGAAACAGCTCAGCATGGGAAGTATTTTGAGCATGGGAAAGCGTATGGACATGACTTATAACTTGTATTGACTTATGACATGGTAAGCACGCAACAGTACAGATATGTCTGGGTTGTGGGATTACATAGGCTAGTATCACTCAGATTGATGTTTCTGAGTGGAGATCTCACACTGTTTGGCCCAGAAGACCCCCTCTGGTGACAAAGCTAAGCTTCATGGTCACTGAGGCTAAACCAGAGCACCCCAGATTCACAGTGATTGAAAACATGGTGAGAAGAAACCCGTGAAGCCTACATACAGTGACCCTCAAATGAAAATCCCACCCTTGCTACTGATGGGAAGAGGCTTCATTAACAGTGCAGCCCTAACCATAGTTGCTCCAGAGGAGGCATTCCTTCCAGAAATCACCATGGGACTCACTGAGAGCAAGCTGCCCATCACTAGCTCCAGGTTGGTGTCCCTGCCAAGTCAACTGTAAGCCAGAGGGACTTCTTGTACTCTGTGCCAGCTTGATACGGTATAAAAAGAGCTGGGAGAGAATAGGGTGTGTGAAGTAGAGGAACTGATATAGCAGGAAGAAGAAGAAACTATACACAGGACTAACAGGAATACATATCTCTATTCAGAGTCTACTGCTTAGTGCAGGTCCATCAAGGTGGCCAATGCACGGTTCTGTCTCTGACTGCAGGCACCCAGCACATCAAACAGCACATTTCTCACCTGGAAGGGCTTCTGTTGTGTCTGTCTTGAGGTCCAGGATGGGCTCAGAAGAAGACATGTGTTTTTTAGGGCTCTGCTCTGTTTCTGAAGGCTGGGGAACAGGCAGACTGAGCCAAGAGCTACCTAAAAAAAAATCAAGACCAAGGAAAGAAACTCATAGAAAGTGAATGATGCACAGAGAGCAAGGAAGGTAGAGTTGGCTGCACTCCACATACGAACATCACCAGGGCCTGAATGACCTCCCAGAGAACCCTGCTGTGTGTCCATGGTGAAAAGGGGTCTGGGCACTATCTGCTTCAATGCCTCCCAGGTCCCTCCTGATGGTAATAGCCCATCCTCTCCATGACCAGGTCTCAGAACTGGATCATCCCACAATGCAGTAAGTCCAGACTGTGTCATTTCCTTGGGCTGATCCTGCTCTGCCTGTGACAGTGGCTGTGTTTCTGCAGGATATGCCTGTGGGGACACATCTACTAGAAATCCCCACCCAAATCATTCGGGATTGGCAACTCTGAGCTGCTCGTGTATACGTCCAAAGGCTGTGATGTGCACTGAAGGTGTGAGGACACAGTGGGACACATGTGTATGGCCCACCGCACACTCTCATCCATGTAGGCCCCCTTTTTACTCTATACGGATGCTGGAGAAATAGGCTTTGCAGACAACCTATCCACACACAGCTCCCACGAACCACAGCCCATGAACTCATGGGGCAAAATAAGATGCTGCGTCCAGGAGAGGGCAGCAGAATCCCAGCAAGCTCCATGCCCTTCGTCACTCCTGAATTGCAGTTGCAAACTCTTTCCTGAGCTGTAAACACAGCTTTTTACTCTCTATGGCAATATTCTTCGCCCAGACACTCTAGAAAAGTTTTTGTGGTCACCATGTTTCAGCAGGCCTATAAACGGTTCTAGTTAATGTCCCAGAGTAGCTATTGTTGCACCCTTTTCATTGCGGGAACAGTCTGTGGTCCCAAGTCGAGATGTGGAGGAGGAAGTCTGAGCTGAACTCTGTGCCACGGGGCCTTGAAACACTTCTGGGTGCTGCATGGGTTGAGGGCAGAACTCAGCTCCTGAGCCATCACGGTGCATCATGTCCTTTGCTGGCAGACTTGTCCAGGAGTGTAGGACATGGGGAAGAGCATCTGCTCCCCCCCATATGAGACAAGGGAATAAAGTCCTGAATTCAGGTCCTGACACATATGTAGAGAGGAAAGAGTTTCCGATGGAGTCAGACCTGCAAGGCTGAGGCTCCTTGGTGTGCTTTAGTGACCCCAGGATGCAGCATCAGGCAGAGTTGTGGTTCCCTGTGCTGTCATGCAGCAGATGAGAGCAGCTGTGCAAGCCAGCTCTTAGTAAAGATTTAAAAGGCAAGCTGTCAGCAGTGCTGCTAAGAGGTGGCTTTTCCTGTTATAGCTCTATCCTTCTCTAATACTAATAGGATTTGAGGGAGGAGGAGAAGCAGCAGTGTGCCGGCCAGCAGAGGGTGGGTGCTTCTCTGTGCAGAGGCTTTGCACACCTGAAAGTAGATCTTTCTAATTTTTCTGTATTGTCTGGAGGCAGATGGGAGGTAGCAATCTCCATGTCTTTTTCATAATTATATATGTTTTTTGTTGTTGTTGTTGCAAGGGGTCAGTAAGGACTATACCGAACCTTCTGCCCTGTGCCCATAGAATCCTCCTTTGTGTCCTTCATGGCATCCCACTGAAACCCCTTGTGTCAGTCTGGATGAGGAATTTCTATGGGAGAGAGCTGCCCAAGATTTCATCCAGCAAATACACAGAGATGTGGAGGCAGTCAGGTCTGAATTCAGATCTCCCAATGGAAGAAAAACTCAACCTCAGAATTATGACATACAACTCAGTGCCCTGGGAGTCGTTGTACTGCAGAGTGCTCCAGGCATAGGAGGGATTTCACGTGTTAATAGCAATGACTTCACCACCAATTAGCTTAGCTCACTCTTCAGTCAATGCCATACAAACAACATATAGACAGGCTGTATATCGCAGGCAGTTTATGGCTTGATTGAAAGTGATGGCTCTGAAGCCAGTACTTGAACCAGTAGTTCAAGTCATTGTAATTCATGTGCTGCTTTCTGCCTCCCGTGCTCAGGACACAGCAAGTGGCTGGAGCTCTTGGTGCTGGCCCTGGGTTAAAGCCTTCTTTGGCAATGGGTGAAGCAGGAGAGGGGATGGGGAGAAATGCTAGGAAATGAATTCTCCCCTGGAGTCAGCCAGAGTTTGAGGAAACCCAGAGCCTGCCTTGTACATCTGCCAGGACTGATTCATGAGGATGTACTTATTAAAGAAATACGCATTTATTGCTGGTTCCCTGCCAATCTCCTTCCACAAGGAGTCAAACCACTCCAGCAGAGAAAACAGAAGTCCCCCTGCTTTCACTGATACTGGTGCAGAATGAGGCCACCAGAGCAGGGTCACCTGTTTCTATTGGTGCCAAAGCCTCAGGTCCATTAAGAACACCTCTCCTGAGCTAAAACTTCATGTCCCAACCCTCATCAAAGCACAGCCTCAGCTGTGAGATCTGAAAATTTCACTTCAGCAGTGAGAAGGTAGCAGAAAGGACTGCGCTATCCTGGCTCAGGTTTTCCACCTACCTAGCTGCTTCCTATCTCTAAGGAAAACACAGCTTGTCTGGCCTTGTTACTTTCCATTTTTTGCCAAAATTCAGCTACTGTTTGCCCTTTTGTATGGAAGACATCTCCCCACCCAAATGCTTCTTGTTCTTCCACCATTTTATGGAAAAATGATGATCTCAGTCATGGTCCCTGCTTGCAAAGTGGAAGGTTCCTTCAAGAGCATCAAGGAATTGCTTGTAAGGAAGCAATGAGGAAGGATTGGGAAAGTGCTTTCCAGAAAGACTGTACATTTGAACGTGCTGTTCCCTGGCAGTGTGTCCAGCACAAAAGTGGCTCCAGCTGTCTTTCTTTACACCAGAATATGCATTTCTGTATCATTTCCAGGAGTCACCTTTCAGAAAGCAGACCCACAGGCGATTTCCACGCAGTGCTCAATTCCTCTCTTGTTACTTTTGCCAAGAAGAAATTCCACACACTGATGGTCTCACAGGGAGATCCCAGGCAAGACTGGGAGACTGCTCAGTGTGCTGACCAAGCTGGGGACATCAGAGGCAGGAAAGTGAAAGAAGAAGGTGGGAATGATTGCAACCCTTAATATACTGGGAGAAAGAACAGCAGAAGTCCTTTCTTCAAGCCAAATCAAATGTTCTGCTCAATCCCAAAGGGAAGAGTTCATAAAGAGCAGGGGATGAGGATCTGGGTCATCCACTCTGGCAGATGCCTTGGCCATGTAGCACAGATCTGTGTTTCTATCATCCAAGCAGAGTCTCAGCGTCTGGGCAACAAGAAAGGGAAAAATGTCTTCTTCACCTTTTCCTTTATCCAGAAGTTCTTTTCCTATTTTGCAGAACCTCTGTCCAGCCTGATCCAGATGAGTCAATCAAAACAGCAACTTACTCCCAGTGTGCCCCTTTGTCTTGGAGTTTTCCACCAGATTTCCTGTTTTTAACTTTTCTTCTAATGTCAGTTTGGGGAGCTGAGGGCCACAAAATCACTGCAGCTCTGTAATGATCTGAGCTAAATCCTATCCCAATACACAGAAACGCAGTATGCAGACCCTTATGCCATGGGTCCAGCTCCTATGTTCAAGTGCACGTCCAGCCAGAGTGGACAGCAGGAACATCATTATCTCTTTCCAAAAGAAGTCATAGAAGGGTGAATAAATTTTCAGAGAATAGAAACCACTTCACCCCAAAACTGAGAGGAAGTCTTGAAACTGCAGAGTCCTCTGCCTACTTTACCTTTTTCTCACTCTTTGTGCCTACTCAAAGAGAGTTTGAGACCAAGACATAACACATTGCAAAATCTGCCAGAGTCTGATCCAGCCTGGGGAAGCCTCTCTTCCATGTTACTTCTGAAATTTTCACCTTTCTGTTTCCTATTAGGAACATAAATCCTCTGGATAATGACTGTGGTTCTGACCTACAGCCTTTCCCCAAAGCCAAGGAATGTGTGGAAAGCATTTCCCTGTGTGTCAGGAGTCAAGTATGAGCTGAGAAATGCAATGCAATGGAGCCACTGTGCTTTCAAGGGAGATACAGTGTCTTTCAGCTTGTCCTGTTGGTCTCCATCTCCATGTATACAGATGCTCACGAGAATGTCTTACTGAGGATCCTTATTCATATACTAAATACACAAGAGATGGTTACATCTCCCTTCTGCATCTTCTCCAGCCATCCTTGTTCCAATCAGCCTTCAAAGAGATTAAAGCCCAGTATTTGGGAAGATTTTGATGTCCTTATTGAAATGTGTTGACTTGGCTTCACTTTTGGTCTCAAAACCAGTTTATTCAGCAATACAACAGTTTAGATGACATCCTGCAAGTGGGGTGAAGGGCCTATGGCCACCAAGCACTGAATCTCCTGGGAATCAGGGGCAGCACAACAATATTACTGAATCTGGGCTCCTCAAGCCCTCCAAGACCATCTTCACCACCCAGCCTTGCCCTGGACCATCCTTTGGGGTGCCTTTACCTGGGAGGCTGAAGTGCCTGGAGAGTTGCCTGGAGAGTTGTCCTCGCACGACAGGACCTGGAGAAAAGGAAAAGATATGGGTCTAGCTCTCCGCTTCACTATGACAACATTGGTGACTTCCCTTCAAAAAAGCACATACCTTGGAGGGGTACAAGGAAAGGGAAAGAGCACCCATCACATGAAAAATGATGTCCAGTGAATTTCCCTTGGATGTGCACTGTGATCCCAGCCTGGTTTTACATGATTTGTCATGAAATGCCTCTGATAGGTAATTTGATGCATCCCTCTAGAGCACTTCATATAATTTTGCAGTAGTGATTAAGACGAGACCCTACCTTAACCAAAGAATAGGACCACCAGCTCAACCCCCTCTTATTATTTCATTTGAAGAGACGCTCTCGCACAAGCTGGAAGTGGCCATTTTTGAAGGGAAGATGTTTGCCAAAAGCATCCTATAGGAACAGGAACAAGGCAATGGACTGCATGGCATCCCCGAGACAAGGGAGATGTCTGAGCAGGTGGATATCCCTCCAACCCAGTCCCCTTGGCACCCCTCGGTACATCAGCACCAAAACCCCTTCTAACAAGAGAGCCGTGGAGAACAGCCAACGGTTTTCTCCTTAGAAAGCTGTAGGATACAACCAGCTGTAGGGTACAACCAAACATTTTTGTGCTTGTTGAGAAGGTGAATGTCTATGGGAAAGCCCCAAATGGTGTCATTTAGTTTAATCACAGAAGAAGATCACACTGAAAAGAGACATCTCTCCCTCTCTAGCTTGAGCTGGTTGCCATTGGAAAGAAATTTTCCCTAGAAACACATTAATGCAATGTGGAACTCAGGCTAAAATTACACTTAATCTTGCTATATTGTTTGAGAAGAGAAAAACAGTATTTCAATTAAAGCTGCAGAAGGAAACACATTTTCATATGTCAGAAAAGGTATTTTTTCAGTGCTATTTCCTGTATTTTTGGTGTATTTGCAACTAGTCTTAATTAACACCTGCATTTTTTTCAGCAAATACATGGTTCAACTGAACACGTTTGCAAGGATCCATTCAGGAACTGGAACTGATGTGGTACGCAGCAAGCAAATTGAAATAATTATTAAAGGCAGAGTTAAAAACCGTCTGCATGCTCCTAATACACAGGGCAAAAGTATTCATCTTATGATAAGTCAACAAAATAGTGGATAATGGAGAACAGTTAATACATTTTCCTGAGTGCTTTTTGATAAAGACCATCAAAGAGGCTTTTAAGAAAACTCAATTGCCAAGGGGGGATTGTCTGGCTTCCGCAGTGTATTAAAAGCTTATTAAGATGGAGAAAAGAAGAAATGGAATCAAGGGTTCATTCTCGACATATAAATAATATAATAATAGGACATCCCTGAGAGTCCATTTTAGGATGAAATCTTTTGTTAACGATGCAGGGGAAAGGGCAAACAGTCAAGTGGAAAATTTTTACAGAGAGCAGAGAGTAATATCTGCTGGCTGAGGCCAGGGAGGCTGCATGGGGACTTAACGAAGGCGCGCTAATGAAAAGCCTGCCGACAGGTTAATTGAAACTCTGGGCAGTGAAAAGCGATGCGTGTGAGAGGGCGTAGCTTGAGATTTTCGTGCACTTCGGTGGGTTTTGAATTAGAAAAATACAGCAAGACCCCGGGGCTGTGCTGGGCAGATGAGGAAATGCTGGCTAAGCGCTCTGAGCTTGTTGTGTTGGGCACAGAGATGAGAAACCACAGAAGATCTATGCAAAAATACGCTCAGGGAATAGAGCTGGGCTCTAATTTTGGCCACTTCCCCTCGGGACAGACAGACAGGAGTAGTGTCTGCCCAAAGCTGGTTGTGAAAGGCACAAAGGGGTTTTTACACTTGGGAGGGTGAGATAGGAGGGGCATGAGAAAACAAGTAAGGAGGGAGTTGATGGGGGAATTGCTATAATCATAAAAACACATGGCTTTTAATGGGAAAGCCCTTTAAGGAGGCTCTCCATCCCCAAATTAGGTTAGATACAAACTGACATGATAAGAGACAGAGGCCAAGATGCTAAGGGGTGCTGGGCATTGCCACAAGCCAAGGTTAAAGGGATCCTCCCAGAGCAGGGCCAACACAAACCGTAGGGATTTTTCATGGGGTTTCTTCCACCTCAATCCGAAACATCTCTGCCAGGCACAGCCAAGGGCAGGACACAGAGCTGGGCTGATAAATCCTCTCCCAGTCTTTCTCTTTAATGTATTAGTTTGCATTTTCAGTCTGCTCACGTATCATTTCTAGATAGGTCAGGGCACGTAATCCCCCTAGGTTTATTCATTATTAGAAAGCTTTTCAGTTTTCCCTTAACATCCTTTGGAGCTGATGTGATTACAGAATACGTCCTCTGGGACAGGAGTGGGAATTCTGTGAAGGTGGTGCAAAGAATGGAGGTGCTCAGAGGAGCTGAGAAAGGGCAGGAGATGAGTGGAAAAGCCAGCAACACTTTAGAACCCTACTGCTATTACATATTTTTATATATAAATATATATATATATATTTCCCCTGTATTTTTAAAGCACAAGCAGTAGCTCCCAGGTCTCCACCATCAAGATTTACTCAGTGCAAATAATTCTTTAACTCCACATCCTGCACTCAGAGCTCCTGCATGTGGAAAAGTTGATCTCTGACACCATGCCCACAGAGAGCATCCTGCTTTATTTACAGGAGGGACAACATTCCCCAAGCAATCATCCCTGGGTGTTGGTGATTCTGGACCCAAACTTTATAAAGGGGCAAAGCCAGGGTGATTCCCCCCAGCCATTGTCTGTAGAAGAATCAATCAGAAAAATGCAACCTCACGGAGCTTGAAGGTTGGAGCTTAATCCCTTTAAATCAGTGTCACTGTACTCCCAGCCACTGATTATTTAAATAATGGCTTGATATTTTTTAAAAATTTGTTTTTAGTCCTCAGAAGAAAAAAAACCAAACCACTGGATTTTTTTTTTCAGATGTGAAATGGTATAAATGGAAAATCACAACTGTACTGTTTTACATCTCCTTGCTGGCTATGCAGGTCAGTGCCCTCACTGCAGGAAAAAGCTGGAAAAGACTGGTAAATACAGGTGGGATGGCCCAGAGTAAAGACATGCCTGCCAAAGTCTCCAAGGCTGATTTTAGCCTTCTGCCTGGCAATGCTAGGGCAGGAGAGGGGCAAAAAAAAAAAAGAAAAAAAAGAACTGTTAGCCTTTCAGATGGTGTGGCTTTGGTGGCCCTGTGGTGAGCTATGGCTTCTCCTTTGAAAAAGGTGTCGAGGCAGAGAAAACCAGCAGTGCTTTGTGAAGACCTGGAGGAGAGATGATCTGGGTCATAACTGGAGTTCTCGCACTGCATCCCATGGATGTGAAGGGTCACTGCTGCCGAGTTGCTAGGCTGTAGGAGAAGCAAATGCCAGCACCAGCACATGTGGTTCAGTGACTGCAGAGCAAGCTGCGGGTTGTGGTGGCAGGAAAGCCAGGAAAGCCTGGAACTCCTTGAAGAGCTCATGAAAACATGTTCCCTCTGAGTTACCTGTGTTCATAGACAGGCACCATGAACCACATTTGGGTGCTGCCAGTTGCCTGCTAGAGCCTTCCAACCTCTGTTTATTATGCGTTTTGAAATCTGTGCATGTCCCCCACCTGTAGCTCATTTCCTGCAGGCACCAAGGAGATGCAAGCTCAGATAGGGCTGTGGACGCAGGTGGGGTTAAGCAGAAGACATAGGCAACAGTGGCATGGGGTAAGCAGGCAGGTGCTGGCAGAGCAGAGGAAGTGAGGGTGATGTAAAACAGCAAGATGAAAGATACAGCTGAGACGGAAATGAGAGCGCAGCATCTTCTCCTCAGTGACAGTCATGGGGCTTCTTATGGTCTACCCCAGCCAGGCTGCAGGCAGAGAGCATCCCTGTGATTCCCTATCAGCTCTGGGGATGGGTGGATTCACAGATGTGCTCTAGGGGAGCACTGCTGGCAAATGCTTGTCCAAATTTATCCAGAGGAGACACCAACCCTCCCCAGGGACATGCCTCTGGTGCTGCTGGAGCTGATAGGAGGTGTTAGTAACGCCCAGTCACTTCTCTGTGGCGACCTCAGTGTTTCTATTCTCAGCCCTTCTTACCCTGACCTTACAGTACAACTGATTACCATCCATTTTATAATTAAACTTAGCCTGATGCTGAACTGTTTTCTCGTCATCTTCTTTCTAGACTAAACAAAGCCCATTTCTTTAGCATTTCCTAATAAGCTATGGTTACTAGACCTCATCACTCGTACTTGGATTGGACTTCCTCCAGCTTGTCAACATCCTTCTTACTCTGGTGGGCAGTATGTTCCAGTCCCAGTGCCAGGCTGAGGAGAACATACCCATGTCTCCCACCATCAAGGCTCCTGCAAACATACTGCTATCTGGCATGCATTTTTCTGCCAAATTCTCTTCCCCCTGATGCATGCTAAACAAAGCATAAGCCTTTTCTCAGCTCTGCTTTCTGCTTGATTTTGCCCTGTTTTACACCTGAGTGACTGACGTTTTCTCAGCTTCTCTGGAGAATTCCTATCCTGTTTCTTTTGGGCAGATCAGAGCATCCCATGCATTGTACATGGGTTACTGTCCCTGCCACCAGCAGAGCTGCTAATGACAATATTGATTGCAGCTGGTCTGCAGGCAGACATCCTGCTTGTTGCTCCAGCAGCGTCTGCTCAATTCATCTAGACCAGGTTTCTCAGCAGCAAAACCTTGCTTAGGAGAGAACACCAGGGTGTAGTTCCTGTCCCACAGCAGGAACTTCTGCTCTGCCCCTCCCAGCCCATATTATCTGTACCTACGCCTAGCAGGGGTGGTTTCAGGCAGGAAACCTCCAAATGACAGTGAGACAGCTGGGGAGAAGTGCTGAGCACTGAGTGAGTGGGAGCTCTTCTGCAAATATGAGGGGAGGGCTGGGGTCATACTCACGGGCTTCTATCATCAGCTTGAGTGTTTTTCTTCCTAGCCATCTGCTGCGTGTGCCCTCCAGCTCCTGAACATCAGCACCTAAATCCTGGCACACATCATGGCACAGGTGATGGAGGCCATTGATGCCCATTCCTGGATGCTTGGGGCTATATCAGAGCAATTCAGACCTGCCAGCCCAGACTTAGCTCAAAAGCATGAGCACCAATCCCAGCCCACACAGAGGTCAAAGCTCCAGGCTCAGCCTTAAGCTAAAATTATTTATTCTGGATTATTTATCTTTTTCTCTCACTGTCCTTCCTCCACAGTCCAGCTACACTGAGAGTTTGCAAGGTGTGCTCCCAGCTAACGAGGCTGCTTCTGTCTGAGATGCCCTAAACCACCTCTGTCCTCATCCTGCAGCAGGGGCAGGTCCCACAGACTCCTGGCACAACTGGTTTCCCTGCTGACCCCGGGTCTCCAGATTATTGCGAGTTGAGCTCATGCCGACAGCTCCCAGACAAGCGGCTTTCTCAGGAAGCGCCATCCTGGAAAATGCAGCCCCAGAGAAAATAAACTCCCCCGAGCCACAGAGAATGACCCGAGCCTGCAATTTCTCCCTTGCTGTCTGGAAACGACTGGGGTTTTGTTTTCCAAGGGATTAAAACACAGGGTAGGGATGTTATTTTAGGGAACGACTGAGCCCCATCAAACCTCGTCCTGTTTGTGCAGATGCAGAGCTGGGCTGGGCTCCAGGCCACCGTCCTCCCCCCGCAGGGATGGCTCTGGGCTTTGGAAAAATGACGCACAGAGGCACAGAGGGGGCTGCTTTGCAGGTGGTGCTGAGCTATTCCAGCCACTGAGCACAAATGTGATTGCAAACAAATGAAATCCTCCCCCTGAAAAGCTCGTTTATACCTGGAATTAATGCTGGGGATCATTGTGTGCAGGGGGTCATTTGTGGCTGTGGATTTTGGCCAAAGTGATGGAGTTTATGATGAAGGGATGCTCTACAGAGTATTGGACATAATGTTCATGGGGATGGAGTTGGACTGAGGTCCCAACTGTGTCTCTGATCAGTGAGACCCTTCTGCTGGCAGCCCATGCTCTACCCTCCCCACCTGTGTTCCACGGTCCTGCATTCATCTATATTTTTTACAAAATCCCAGGGGGCTGAGGCTGGGCACAACAGGTGGGCTGTCAAGCAGGGAAGAAACCCAAACCCGGAGTTTCTAGAAGTGTGCTGTGATTAATTTATAGTGACTCAGCCTTTTGAGCAATGGTTTCAGATGTAAATAATTGCCTGCTGCAGGTACACTGGCTGGATGAGGAAAGTTTACTGCTTGGCACAGCCATTCAACAACCACATGCATGAAGCACCATGCACTTTGTCTTGTTCAGCTGCTGACAAAGGCATCAATTGGGTCATTAACTTGAATTTCCCAATCAGTTTGGCTACTAAAAGGACCAACTATTATCTTTACATAGGGAATGCCCCATAAACTCTGTCACCTTGGGGCTGTGCTCACTGCCCTGGGAACCCTTTCCCATCTTTGTGGCCACCCATTGGATGCTCTCTGACAGATTGATGACCCTATATTGTGGTACACAAACTATTCACAGTGCTTGAGGTGAGGCCACCGAGTGGGACAATGAAATAAAGTGGGATTTCCTCTCACATTTCCTCTCAGCACACAGCCACTACCAACTCCATCAATACAGAGGAGTAGATTGATCACTCAGCTGACTCCCAGACCTTTTCTGTCCAGCCGGGTAGTTCAGTCAATGCTGAACTAATTGCTAAAGAAGCCCAAAGCACAGTTTCTTATGGGTTTTGCACACACATCACAAGTGTATCTTAAGCCTACTGCTTAGGTGTCTCCTGGGAATCCTGGTGGAGTCCATGGAGAGACATCTGCACCTCTAATGCTGTGAATGCCCTTGTGTTAGATGCCTAGGTGCCACTTCCAGATAGGCATCTCATCCTCCACCACTTCTGCTGGACTAGCAAAGGACAGCCAGCTCAGACTGACATCCAGCTTGAAGGTGCTGAAGGTGCAGATCAATGTGCCTGATTGCACAGGCTATCAGCTTCAGGCAAGTAAAAATCTGTGTTGGTAATGGCTCCATGTTGAAGGTGCAACCTCAGCTGTAATGGCCTTGCTAGTGAGTATCACCTCACATTAATAGCTCCCTCTGTGCTGGAGTACTGATGTGTGGAGAATGGGTTGAACTCCTGAGGGACACAGTCAGCTGCCCATCTCCAAGGAAGCAGTCCATGCTCTGGCACTGTGGGACCTGCATGTGTTAAACTGCAGATGTTCTTAGCCCCCTCCAACAGTTTTTCATCTAAGACGTTGCTAAATATCTGAGAGTACACAGAGCTGTTGATCTTATCACTGGTGGACATATGTCTGCTCAGCAGGTCACAGTGACCACTGCTAGCTGGGGGATGTCTAAGTGCAGGTGCACGTGGGGAAGCCTTCTTTGCCCTGGGAGTCGTGTGAGCATCTCTTCCCTAGTGAGCCTGCAGTCTCCTCTTGGCAGCCTCTGTCAAAAATTCTCCTTGATTGTGCTGAAATTCTTCCTCCTGCCTGGTTGTTGCATGCCATGGCTACCACTCTCCTGTCCATCCACTTGGCACTGGGGGTGGGAAATTCTGATGAAGAATTTCAGCTTAAATGGCTTCTTACTGAAACAGAATCTGGGGAGAACTAATTGATTTCAGTGTGATTTTTAATGATTAACTACAGAAGGAAAATCAGAATTTCTGGAATAAAAAAAGTGGGTAGGTTTGAAGATGAGAAGGGAAAGGATGGGAAGGGGATGGAAGGGAAAGGATGGGAAGGGGATGGAAGGGAAGGGAAGGGAAGGGAAGGGAAGGGAAGGGAAGGGAAGGGAAGGGAAGGGAAGGGAAGGGAAGGGAAGGGAAGGGAAGGGAAGGGAAGGGAAGGGAAGGGAAGGGAAGGGAAAGTGAGATGGAGCTCCCCAGGAAGAACCATCATTGCAACATTCAGCAGGGCTGAGTGCCTCCCAGCCAATGTTAGAACAAGGAAGGTTTCCCAGTTCCTGCCAAACCTCTGTTTGACATGAGAAAGGGCAGCCTGTCGTTCACCTTCCTGACACTGACAGATGACCTCAGCTACTGCAGAGAGAGGGAGGAGAACTGCCTACGGCAAAGTTCCCCAGTGCCAAGACCTCATCTCTCTTGGAAAATGCAAAGATATCCCATCACATGGAATACTCTTTGCTTTCTGGAATCTGCAAAAGCATTAAAATTGGAGTTAGGAAGGGAGGAATGCTAGGGAGAAGAGTTCCAGACTCTCTGGTTAAATTAGCCTGGAGGTATTTGACGCAAGGCAACAAACCCTTATTGTAACCCCAATGTGTTGAGTACACGTTCAGCTTTCTGGCATGCTGAGAAGCACTTTCCTGCCCAGTTCTGCTCGTGTGACTTCAAGAAGACTGGGAACTCTTCCAAGCTGGGACTTGGGGACTTCAGTTCTCCGGAGCAAAATGAGTGTTAAAGACTGCAGTGTGACTCCTTGTTGATTTTTGTTTCCCCGGGGTTTTGTGTTAAATACTCTCCCTGCACACAAAGAACAATGATATTTTGGGAACGCCCACCAGGAAATGTTTGGCCGCACCCTCGCTTTCTCTGCCCTTGGAGTCTCTCCATTAAATTGAATGAAGTCAAATGAGATGTTTCCACTTACACAAACGAGAAGCTGGAAATGCAGCTGCGTTGTGCAGAGATTTTAAAAATGCAAGTTCTCCAGAAAAGAAAATAAAAGCTTCAAATGTCAGGGTGGCTCCAAAATCAGTGAGATGAGGGAGCTGCCAGATTGCATAGGAAGCCATGGTTGCGGAGCTGAGCAGAGCAGGAGCTGTGCTGGTGACAGGAGGGTTGCGAAATGGTTTCCTGTTGACTTCTCTCTTGTTTTTTCTCCATCAACCACAGGCTCTACCTCTAACACCAGCACTGTGTGGGGAATCCTTATCCCTGACGCCCCACTACCTCTATTCCTCCTCTCCTGAACCAGGATGCAGCTGCATGTCCCTGCCCGCGGTCCCTCGCACTGTCCCCTTGCACCTACAGAAGACCTCCTCCTGTGTTCTTCGTGGCATTTAATTCTTTGAGTTGATTAAAACAGTATATTCACAAAAAGACTTTGCTGTAATGAGAGAAATAGGGTATAATTGCATGGATTTCACTAAACAAACTGTGATCTGTTGTTCTGCTGTAGAGGGGAAGGATTCGGGGTTTTACCCTTTTTATTTTTGCTTGAAAGCCTCAGCTTTGGGGAAGCGATCCTCAGCTGGGGTAAAGCACTGCAGCTCAGTGGGTTTTCTCACTTATCTGTGGGGAGAACTCAAGGCTGTTTAAGCATAGAGTTGCCCCAGGTGAGCAAGGGATGGAGTCTGGCTGCTTAAGAATATGTCAAGAGGCTCCTTGCCCTTAATGCTGTTCCCTCTGCAATGTGCCCCATGGATGAATGAAGAACTACGGTTTTGTTACCAGACCACGTCCCTTTGGATGCTCAAGGGTAGGGAAATCATCAAATTCTCTGTCTGCAAGTATCTGCTAGTCTGGTTCTGATAAACACTGACTATCTGGCCAACTCTGAAACACAAGACTGTTAAGGAAAACTTGACATAGTTTTTTTTTAAGTTTCCTTTATTTATTTTATTTGGGCCTCTGGGCCTTAAACTCATGCTTTTGTTTGGTTTTCAGTTTTGAGTCTTCCCTGTCATGGAAAGGGCTTGGAATTAAAAACCAAACAAAGGCAAAAGCTGAGAGTCTAATGGCACTGCTAAGCTAAGCAGCTGGGGATTTAGCCCTCGTAAAACTGAAACTCTAAATGCCCTGGTGGGGTCTGTCCCATGCCCAGGCTCTGATGGCCGCGTTGGCTGGTCCATCATGGCTCTGCCACTGTCTGGTGGCTCTGGGGACAGTTCTGTACAAAGTGGAAGTCACCAAGCCTGCCCACAAAGCCTCCACAAGATTTACTTTGGATTTCATGTGCTCTTTCATTGGCCTGGCCTCTCCTTCCATCAGGGACTTCTTCTCCCACCAAGGTACCACCACCTCACTCCAGACCCAAGTGGAAGATAGTGGTTTGCTCAGGGTTTCATTCATTGGGCTCTGCCTGGTTGTCTTCAGCTAACAGCACAGCATGTTGACATCTGCTGGACTGCTGCCTGCTTCAGAGCATCGCTCTGGCTTAGATGCCTCATCAAGTTCTGGGGATTACCGTTTACTCTACTCTCATGGCTATTTGATCACTTGGGCAACTTCTTCTGGGTCGAAGGAAGAGCGGGCACAGGGAAGCCACCACTTAAGATAGAGAGGCAATGGATGCTTGAGAGCCTCAAAACCTTCTCTGAGCTCAGCTCAAAGCTCATGTTTTGTTTCAACTGTGCGTTGCTTTGCAGTTGAGAGGAAATCCAGGCATTTATGAAACACTCAGCAGTTCAGGCTTGGAGCTGTGCTGTCCTGGCTGCTTGATCAATAGCATCTGGCTGAAGCTTATAATGAAAAGCAGGTGGCTGGCTGTACAGGGGTAAGAAACTGCTGTGATTTGAACTAGTAAGAGTAGGCTTAAATCAGGGCAGGGACATTCAGGCTTCAGAAACCTCTGCTGTTCAATCACCCATCTGATCAGACCTTGGGAACAGTACACAGCTGCACTGCACCAGCACTGCCTCCATTGCCCTCCTCTCCCCACTTTGAAGAATAATTCATTTCTTATGTCCATTGGGCATTTAGGTGTGGGTACTCAGAGCCACAGTCTGACAACATCTGTGGCTCAAATAATAAGCTTTAAGCATCTGAGTATCTTTGATACTCCAGCTCTGCTCAGGACCTCCAGCTGCCTCCATGGGGACAAAAATAACTCTCTTCATGTCCTGCAAGGGCTCAGCAGGCTGCTTGCCTGTACAGCTCACACAAGGCAGGGAACACACAAAGACTGTTCTCTCGTGTGCTTTTGTTGCTTAAGGGTTGAGCTCATATCTGGGCAGGGGAAGGGGACTGGTGGAAGATGGGCACTGGAGTGCCAACCAAAGAGCTCTCTGAAAGGCCTTGGGTGTCAGAATGAGCTGTGGTGGCCTTGATGTAGTTCCTGTCCTCAGGATGTGGTTCCTGTTGACTCTAGCATGGAGTCAGCCATGGCATCAGCTTGGGAGAACATACCAAGGACCTCAGCCATGGAAAAAGAGGATGCAATTTGTTCCTCCTCCCTGCCTTGCTTAGAGGTCCTCTGAATGATGATAGGAGAGGACCATGACGAGGCCAATTTCATCTCACTTGCTTCAACTACCAGAAATGTGGTGCCATCCCTGCCTGCTAGTCCCTCGCTAGCATTTGCCAAAGCTCATAAATTCATCCAGGAAGGCTGGGCTTGTACAGCTCCTCCTGTACCCCCTGCCAGCTGATTTGTGTTTTGCACACAAATGCTTTTCTTAATGCTCTTTATGTCCCTGATTAGAATTGCAAGAGAGGGTGGCATGCAGCAAAGAGCTGAGCTTATCCTCCATAATGGTGTCATGTTCATCTGCCTCCTGCTGAATCACATCATCCAGTTTGGGGCTGGAAGTAGTAAATTGTGGGGCTGAGTGAAGTTTTCTTTCTGTTCTCCAGAGTACTGTCTGAACAGGGGGAAAATGGATTTCTGATGGAAGATTTGTCCTGCTGCCTGGGATGTTGGGGTCCTTAGGAGTCATGTTAAAGGTACTGCTGGCAAAGTGCACCCTGCAGCACAGTGCCTCAAGCCTGGAAAAGGGTAAGGAGGGAAAGGGGACATTGGATGTAGTGATTGTCCTATGAGGTCGAGCTTCATTTAGTTGAAATCTGTTGTAGCCTGTTTGCAAGAACGTTTTTCAATCATATACTGCACAGCTCTCCCAGGGGAGGTGGGGTGATAACTCCCTGCCATCTACTACCTGGGACTATGCAAAACCTTTTTAACTGAAAAACCTTTTAAGAAAATCATCTGCAAGTCACAAAGTCACCAGCTTAAGCTCAGAGCAAGCTGTCAGCACAGACCGAACAAACTTCCTTTGGTGAAGTGCTTATGCAGCTCTCCATCTTCTGATGTGCTGAGCAGTCTCAGGTCTCCTCCAGGTTGGGATTTCCAGGTGGTAGATGGGGATTCTGCATCTAACATTTCTATCTTCTGCTCTTTCATGAGGCAAGGACCCTGTAAGAACCTCCTTGTCCTCTTCCCAGCCACAGATACTGATCTCCTCCATCCTTATTGCATCCTGGCAGGACAGAGCAGAGCTTCTGAAACAACCAGGCATTTCTGCCACCGAAGTGCTCCCTCATGGAAGAACTGAAAACAGACCCAGAAACAAAATGTTTTCAGATGTTCTCTCACGGTGGCAGAAGTGTCTGATGGAGACAGATGGGATTTGGCTTCTGTTTCACAGGGCAGGCTGCTCAGATCTGCATTGTTGTGCAGAACAAGACGCCGAGAGAGCAATAACCAGCAATTTGTGGGCAGGGCGCTTGCCTGGGAATGCAGACCCATGGGTTCATCTCCCTGCTTATTTGAATGAGTGATATTATTTTAGGATGGATGGTTTTCTAGGGACCTCTAAATGAAAGGGTGAGTTACATTATCCCTCAGAGAGAAAACAGGCTTTGAAAGCTCAGCCTCACCCCTTGAGCACAGAGCCCTGGCTTTCTGAAACTCAGCAGCTGCTGCATCAGCTTGGGGAAGCTTTGTGGTGAGAGCAGCCACCGTCCCAAGGGATGCTCTCACCCACCGTGCTCCGTGTTCCTCCGTGAGGGACCCCATACTTCACTGAGGCCACCTTGGGAGGTTGTGGGCTTCTTATGGCATGCTCAAACCCACCCGCAAAGCAGGTGCTCTGGCATATAGAATCATAGAATCATTAAGGCTGGAAAAGAGCACTAAGATCATCGAGTCCAACCATCAACCTGTCAAACATAGGGATGGGTTGGCTTGTATGCATCTAGATTAATGCAGTTCCCACCTCTCATTCACAGCAGGGCTCCCTTCAGAAAAGCCGATGACGACTCAGTGCAGGTCAGATTGAAAGAATCACAGGGATACCTCCTGGCTGGGGACTTTTGCAAACACACGACTAATCCCCCAACACACGTGCAACCCATTCTGATTTACTACGGATGCTGACAGCAGTTGGTCTGCCCACGCATAGCCCACGTGCCCATCCATGGAGGTGACAGCAGAGCCACCCGCCACTGAGCTGGGGCAGTCAGCTCCTCCTCAAAGCCCCAGGGATGAATGAAGAACAGCGCTGCCCTCCTGGGAAGGCAAAGATCACCTTAGGTCCAGCAAGCTCCAGGGAAGCAAACTGAGCAAGACCCAACACTTCCCTTGAGCAGAAATGCTCCGGAGAAGGAGCAGCAGGCAAAAGAGGTGACACCAGGAAAGCACCATCTGCCCTTTTTCCTTGAAACCCTGGTGAGAGAGAGCTTCCCTCCTGCCCTCAGCCACCCACTTCTTTTTGCCCTGCTTGAGTGACTTGCTGTGATGGCTCAGAGGATAACAACCTCGATCAGATGATTTTCTGCACCACCTCTTCTATGCACATTGTTTCTCCTAAGGATCCAATTAACCAGGCTCTCCTCCCAGCCTTGGGCTGCAGTAAATGCACGCTCTTTCTATTACTGGATGTATTCAAAGAAAATAAAAAGAAACAGCCTCAAATTTGTCAGAGCTGAGAGAGTTAGACCTCAGTGACAGTATTTTTACATAATGTATTGGTTTTCAAATGATTCAAAACATTCTGCTCCAATCATATTTTGCATGGGGTATAGTGCTTAAGAGCCCACGTCACACAGCCCTGCAGATTGACACCACATTGACTTTGTTGTTATGGTTCCCCAATTGGGAAAAACACTTTATCCCACGAGATTCATTTTTTCAGACCAGTTCCAGAGGGGAAAAGCAAATATCTTAACATTGGCATTACTCATAAGGCAGCAATTTCTTTTTCCAATCAGTCCTAATTGCTTAAAAGAGAAAATCTTTAGTTTTAAAAAAACCCAACAACTAAACAGTGTCTATCCTCCTCTACGTAAAAGGATTTTAATTCTGCCCTCACCCTCTCTGAAGAGCTGAAGTTCCCTTTTCTCTTTTGCAAGCTGGTTGTAATTTCCTCTTTAAAGTGCTGTTGCAATGAGGAATGTGCCCTTATAAAAATAGCGTTTTCACCTTCTGCTTCATCCAGACACAGAATGCCTTGCCGTAAAGTTGTAGCTATCCCTGTGTGCCAGAAGGCTTCAGCCCTCCTGCTTCTTTGGAAACCTGCTGCAAGCCTCCCTCCTGGCTGAACCCTGGGCAGAAATGCCTCTTTGGCTGGCATCCAGCTGGCAAAGCTCCCTAACCCAGAGCTTCACCTCTTGCCGCTCGAGGAGATGAGAAACAAGGCAGGGAGGTGTGTGCTGGGATGCTGAGATCCAGTACAGCTATGGGGAGGAATCAGGGGATGGACCAGGGAATGACAGTGGGTGATTTGGGATTGCATCAGCATCCCTGCAGAGCTGCCCAGCTGGCAGGGCTCAAAGAGGAGGAGAGGGGCAAAGTGAGGCAAGGTAGATTTGAGTTTGAACACACCACGCACTGATGCACATCACTCCCTTTGCCCTGCTCAAGCAACCCCCCAGGTGCATACACAAACCTCCTGGCAGACGCACACACGGGCGAGTGGGTTTTGTTCCTTTATTACACATCGCCCAGCAAAGCAGCAGCCAGCCCTGACAGGCTGCGGAGAGCTGCGAGTGGAGAGACCTTCAGAGAGACTGCCCAAAGTGCAACACATCTGGCAATTATTCCTTTGGACCTACAGCGGCTGAGCCCAGATGATGCCTCCAGTACAATCCTAACCCATCCCCCTGAAGCCTGCAGAGAGGGGAGGGCACATTTTGGACAGCCCTCCAAGAGTTTGAGAGATGTGTAAGCATTTGACGCCCTATAGTAACAAGCCCCCTCCCCCCCCCCCCTCACCCCAACAAGCATCTCAGCCCCTGCCCCCCCCCATCTCACCCACTGAGGCACCCCAGGGCAGCAGTGATGCTTCGAACTAGAAACCCTGACACAGGGTGAGGGTGCGGCTTTAGCTAACCTTCCCCAGCACCGACAGTCGAAACGCTAAGCTGCTTACAGGAGCTAATGGCAATATATCCATGCTGTGAGGCTGCATCTTCCCTCCAGCTGCTTTTCCCTCTGCTGCCCACCTTTCTCCACGTCCTTAACCCAACACTTGGGCTCCTCGGATGCTCAAGCACAGTGTCTGCAGCATGGTCCCGCTTGGCTGCGGAACATAGAGCATGAGAGCCGAGTTTGGTATCCATCACAGATGGATCCTGGGCAGATGGGATCCTGGCACAGTTCGGTGTCCCATCCCTCCCACCCAAAAAACGCGCTGTGGCAATGTCCAAGTCCACGCGTCCAGGAGGGTTGGGATCTACTGCAGGATTTGGAGAGAGGAAAGGAGTCTGGTGGTCGACAGCTGCTGCTACAAGGAGGAGCCAAACAGGATCAAAGTGGAGAAAGGAAGGGAAAAAACCCAAGAACAAATTCAAAAAAGGAGACAAAAGGAGGATGCTGGGATTCAGGGTATGGATGTCTACCTTCTAAAGGAACAGGAGAGGAAAGGGAAAGTTGGTGTTCGGTGGTTGGACAGGTGTTTATTTTTGGTGTCACTCACGATAGAAAACATATTCGGTGTAAGAGGTCCAGATCCTGTCGTCTGTCTGGTCGTGGGCGAAGGCACAGGTGCCTGTGGAGTTGCAAGCCACCATGTGGAAGCCAGCGTCGGCCAGTTTGTCAAAGGCTTGCTCCAAGAAGGTGAATTTGAGGTAGTACCGGGAGGTGTACCTCTCTGGAGGCCTGTCTGGGTCCCTGCTCTCATTCAAGGTATCCCCAAAAACCTCCTTGGCCAGTGACGTCTTGCCGCAGACCATGATCCGCGCCACCCGGCGGAACTTGGCATCCGTCTGGCTGTCCCTGCCCAGCGTGTAGGAGCCGCGGTAGCCGATGGTGATGAACCCAGCCCTGCGGATGTCAGGGCCAGCAGCGCCTGCTGTGCCCGTGCCCCCGGCACCGCCAGCCCCGGCACTGGGAAGCGCGGCACTGGCAGCGGTCAGGCTGCGGGCGGTGTCAGCGCTGGGGGACGGCTCCTCAGGGTCGCTTTGGCAAGGGTCGTCCCCCAGCGAATTCTGCTTGCTGAGCTTTGGGGCCAGCATCTTCACCAGCTCTGGCAGCATGAAGTACTCAGCCTCTCGCTGCAGCCGGCTGCGCTCCGGGAAGTGCTCGGGCAGCACCAGCTGCTGGTCCCTCATGTAATCCAGGATGTAGCGGAAGAGGAAGCCGTCCCGATCCACGAAGAAGCGGCCCTTGCTGTCGCGAGCCAAGGAGCGGATGTTCTTCTGTGTGAACATCTCCCAGAGCAGCGAGCCCGGCACGCTGATCAGGGTGGGGTGCCGGGTGATGTAGACTTGTCCGCCCACGTTGAGCTCAATGATTTCAGGGAAAGGCAAATCCTCGCTGGGTTTGGCACAGCCCGCGCTGTCCGCCAGGGCCATTGTGAGCTACTGCTGCTTCCCACCTGCAACACAAAGCAGCACCGTGCCCGGGTTAAGCTTGCCAGCCAACGTCGTCCCGCCAACCCCAAACCCAATCACACTCCCGTTCCACCTGCGAGCAGTATGAGATCAGCCCTGTCCCTGTGGCAGCCTGGAAGTCAGCTCTCTTCCCTAATCCTTATCTTGGATTAGCATGCCAAGGGAGCAGGAGGGGAGTTAATGAGCCACAGGGCTGTCAGAAATGCATGTGTACAGGACAGAGTGGCTGTGCTGCAGGCACTCCTACTCCATGCTGCTCCTGGAAAGTACTCAATAGAGGCTCAGGCCAAGATGAGGACTGCTGGGATCTCCCCAGCCATGAAACATTGCACTGTAGATCCAGCCATGGGTCAGATACCCCATATTTATGCATTTTCCACAGGCAAGCTGTTTATTTGACACTGCTGGACACTCAAAATTAGCATTCACATAAACCTGGCTAAAGAGACAGGCTCCCAGTCCAGTCCACGCTCTGTGCAGGGGTTTGGGACTGAAGGGAAAAGGGGCTTCTCTGCAGCAACCCTGGTAGTGCTTCCCGATGCTCTGTCCGATCTGATGCCAGCACAGCTCTCAGGTCGCTGAGCCCCCCGCGGGGCCGCGTCCCGCATCCACAGGACATCAGCAAGCACTGCCACATCCCCGTGTCCTGCCGTATGGCTCTGTGAGAGCGGCACCAAAGGATCCTCAACTCAAATTACACAGAAATCGGAGGGCAAAGGCAATAGAGCCGAGGCTGAGTTTTGCATCCGCGTGTCCTTCCAGCTCCTATCAGAGGGACTTGGGTGAGAATGAGTTCTGAGCTCGCGCAGAGACGGAACGGGGGTCCCCCCGGCTCTGCTCCTCGGTGGCTTTGAGTCCGAGACCATTTTGGGGAGAGGATATGCACAGGGCAACGGGGAGGACACACAAAGCAGCCCCCCGCGCTCAGCGGCTGCGGAGCCGGAGCCGCTCCCGGGGCTGCTGGCGCTTCGGGGCCGCTCCCGTTCCCGGTTCCCCACCGCCCCCGTTACCTCCGCTCCGCCGGGCGCTGGGCAGGGCGGGCCCAGCAGTGCCGCTCCGTGCCGCTCCGTGCCGCGCTCTCCCTCCGTACCGCTCTGCTCGCCCGGCCCTGGCCTCGCCGTTTTATAGCCGGGAAAGCTGCGAGCGCCTTCCCCTGGCGGCCCCGGGCCCGCCTCGCCCCTGCCTTCTCTCTCCGCCCTCTCCCTTCGCTGTTTACCTCCTCTGCACCGGGGAGCTCTGGACCGGGAGATGCCGAGAGGGTGTGGGAGGGTCTTCCTCCAAATTAGGGATTGGTACTTGGTGCCCTCATCCTGCAGGGAAATCCTTGTGGCACCTACGCTGCAATGGCACCACGCACCAACTGGATGCGCATCTCCAGGCATTCCCAGGGTCAGGTTGCCCCTCATCCTGCAGCCCTCCCGTATCCCTACATCTGTACCCCCTTTCCCCTCTATTCCCATCACCGTGGGATTCAAAGTGTCCCTGGATGCACAGGGACGGCAGATTCCTGCAGCCACAGCCCTGTGCACTGCTTTGTCCTCACCCGTGTTAGCACCCATGTCAGGCCTAACAGGGACACCGTGAGGCAAAATGCAGCTGCAGAGCCCTGACCTGAGATTATCTGCGGTTTCATTTATGTGACATCTATCAAATTTTGTAAGGGCAGAAAGCGTAATTTTTTCTTCACCTGATGTTCAGACCTTGCACAGAAAAAGTGCCCCCAACTAAATAAACAAACAAACAACAACAATAACAACAAATCTGGGAAGAGAAATAGGGACTTTCAAAACATAATAATACTTGCTAAACCTCAACATTCTATTTCACCTACAAACGATAGAACTAAAAAGAAAAAGATGTTGAGGTCAGAGAGTTGAATTCCCCTCCATCTGTTGTGTAGTTTGATAAGAGGTGGCTATTTAACTGTCTGGGTGTGTGGATGGATGGATGGATGGATGGATGGATGGATGGATGGATGGAAGGAAGGAAGGAAGAATGGATGGAATGTGGATAGATGGATGAATGAGTGGACGGACGGAAGGATGGATGGAGGGATGGGTGGGTGGATAGAGGGAAGAGCGTATACATGGGTGGATGGATGGATAGGTGATGGATATTGCTTTGCTTGCAAGGTAACTGAAGCACTCTCTTTGAAAATGGTCTGTGGACAAGTTTCCCATCCCCATGAAGGTGGGGAAACACTGTAAGCCACATAGAGAGGAAAATGTGGAGGGGGAAGCTCTGGGGAGTGTATTAGCTTTTGGGTCTGGAAGTACTTACGTTTCTCCTCCATCCTGCCCACTGCTTTCCCCAGCTTTGCCAGGAAGTGGTCTTTTTGAGACTTTCTGGTGTTCCATCAAACTTAGCTGAAGTTGCCACAAAAACAAAAAACCCAAAACCCATTGGAGAGGGCACAGGCAAACAATCTCATACAGCACACACATGTGAGTGCCTGCCCTGCAATCATATTAATCTTGCTTCCTTAGGGAAAGAGCCTAAAAATAACCTGAATTTGATAATGCAGTTGGAAGGCTGTCCTTGGGGAATGACTGGGAGGCTCCTCACTGAAAATCCTCTGCCTGCAATACTTGGCAAGTTGGCATTGGTGTTGTTGAGGTCCTGAGCGGAAATGGAAAAACTCAGCTTTGCCCTAATGCTCAGTTCATGGCTCCAGGCATGCAGCAGAGTAGTGAAGGTGTGTTTTTGCCTGTTGTCTGTGCCAATACATCCTGGAAGATGTATTGTATACTAAGTTCAGAAGGCTGAATATTAGATGCCTCTTTCCTCTCCAGTTGGTGTTCAGATGCATTAGGCTCATTTTGCCAACAGGGAAGCACTGCTGCCTTCAAAAGGCCATCCAAGTGCAAACACACCACGTCCCTGTAGTGCTTTACCAAAACTCAAGTTGGTGCATATATTTTCATGAACTGACATGGGAAAGCATCCAGGCCTCTGATGACGTTTCTTGAGCAGTGTGAAGCATGAGCTCTGGAGGAATGGGAGGTGGTTGGGACCGTAGAAGCAACGCAGAAGAAACCACCAAGAGCTTTCATAAACCTTACAGAATGAATAAAACAGAATTTGGGTCCCTCTCTGACTTCCTAAAGACTTTTATCAACTGCAGCAGCAGAACATGATTCATCCACATCCCAAGAGAAGGAAGGAATGGGCTTAATTTGTAACTGCATCCACACTGTTATTTACTGAAAATGTGGTTTAATGATTGCAAATAAGGCACTGGCATAGCTTTCTGGCTGCTATTTTCAGCTCTTCATGTTCTCTGAGCTTGGACATAATTTGTTTTGCCTTGCAGGGCCATGACCTCCTCATTTGCAGACTGGGGGGCCTTGCTCTCTGCAGTTACCGTGAGCATTGCTAAACCCATTGTGCTACCCCGAAGCCCTTTGGAAAGTCTTCAAGGGTGTATTTTAAGGACTGAAAGGACTATAAACTGAAAACAAGGCAAATGTTTTCCCATTTTCTGCTATGTTTCTCAGCTAAGAAGGTAAAAGGTAAAAAAAAAAAAATCAGCTACAAGCCCTGGTCTTGTGCTACATCATGTTGAGGGATGCTGTCAGAGAACTGATGGTGCTACATCTGCTCTATCAGTTTCTTATCTAGAGACATCAGGGAGAAAACACTATTTGAGTGACTGATATTTGTTGGAGGAAAAGTGCCATATTCCATGTACGTCAGAAATGCCTGGCTGATTGCACACAGGTTCAAATTCCATCCTGCCGCTGTTACAATTCACAAATGAAGGCTGAGAACAGAGATCTTCTCTCTTCTTCATCCCTGCAGTATTTCTCGCAGCTTTCCTCTTGCTGATCCCACTTTACAGGCTGACAGAATCCCACTGCAGGATTTCCAAGTGTCAGTGGGAATAGCAGAGGATCACGGGTGGACAAGAGGAGGATGCTTTCCCATCCTTAGCTGCCCACAAATCAGCATAAACCCACTGGCATCCCAGGGACAGAGCCCTGGCTCTCTTTCCCTCTCCTCCAGGAGCCATGCAGGTCTGCAGGGAGGCACAGACCCGCACACACATGAAGTTAACTGGAAGTGACCCCCCCTGGAAGAAGAAGCCCGGAACTTCATCTATTGCCAGCTTCTATAAAAAGTGGTTAATCTGCTTCTGCTCGGCCAGGAGCTCAGGTGGCTTTGCAGCTCTGGGGACAGAGGGCAGGCAGCCACACACATCTGACCCCAGCTGTCGTGGTTCCGTTTGCCATGGCTACTAGACTTCAGTCTGGCATTTCAATAATTTACTTATACATCTTATCTTTCCCATTTTTAGCAGCATCTGCCAACTTGTGCTACAGTTTTGTCCTTTCCATGACAGATCGGTTTGGACAAGGAAGGCGAAAGGCTGAGCTTAATGGTGCACTTTAATTGGCTTTTCATTATGAAGGCTCAAATGTCTTTGTGGCAAAGCACAGTTAGGAATCAGAAGCAGATGGGGATCAAGCTGCAAACTCCTCCTGAGATGTGGGAGTTGCTGAAGATGTAAGTTTTTGTTTGGTGTCATCACTGCAGGAGGGGCTAAGATCATCTCCGGTGCTGATGAAATCAACATTATCATCATCAGTGACTCCAGAGGTGATGGAAATACAAAATTGCAGCTGTGTTCCCATCCTGGTGTGGTATTTGTTAGCAGTGGAAGAATGTGCATAGCACTGATCTCATTTCCCCATCTGGAGTGAGGAGCTGGTGGCCACTTGGGAACTGCTCAGCCCTAAAGCAGAGATGTCTCATGCTGCCTTTTAGAATCATAGCATCATTATGGTTGGAAAAGACCTCTAAGATCATGCAGTCCATCTACCACCAATACTGCCCATGAAACTATGTCAAAGATGTCTAAATGCCACATCTCTACAGTTCTTGAACACCTCCAGGAAAGTGTCTCCACCACCTCCCTGGGCACCCTGTGCCAGTGTCCAACCACTCTTTCAGAGAAGTTTTTGATGATATCCAACCTTTTCTTCATGACCTCCTTCAGACTGGCAAATTAAAACCATGGTATAGGACTGCCACTGAGCAAAACCCTAGGGAAGAATAACATGGGAACTAGGAAGGTTGGGAGTATTTCACTATACTTTTAGTGCTCAGAGGTTGTAGCCGGAGGGAGAGAAGGTTAGGAATGGCCTGATCAGACTAGAAACATCTTCTGGAAAGCTGCAGAGCACCTCTGAACATTGGGTCACTCTCATATAGGCACTTGGGTACTCTTTGCAAAGCAAACATCCTGGCACAGCGTTTCTAGGAAGCAGATCACTTACACAATGGGCTGGAAACAACCTGAGGATATAAATCTTTCCCCACACACTCAGATTTCCATTCACAAGGGATATATTTAGGTGTTATATGGTAAGACCCGAGCTTGCATCATGCAAAAGAAAGATTGATAAGATGAGAAGGACCTGAAGTCTCAACCAAGGTAGATGGCAGGCGGGTTGCAAGAGGAACCTATGTGAGTCCTGCTGCAGACAGTCTGTTCCTTGGGCTCTGCCAACACAGTGCCCTGGGGTGCAGATGCCATCTGGCTCTGTACATGCCTGTTCTCAAGCCAGGCTTTCTGCAAACCTTGCTGGCAGATTGCTTGCTGCATCTCAGCTTGGGGCTGGGACTGTGTGAAGGTGGAGGGGTATGGGGAAAACAAGGCATGCCAGCCCCACCAGCTTCTGTATTAATTTTAAAGATGAGAAAAAGAAAAAAAGTCCTGTGGACACCTCACAAATCACCAAATAGCAAGGGGAACACATGGTCTTGCAAAGGCACATCTGTGATTGCAGAGTTTTTGCCCATGGTCAAATCTGTGATGGGTGTGAAGATGAACTTCAGCTTTTCTTCCTCTTTTGATCTGTGGTTTGACTGTTTCATTTTGACTGTTTCAAGGCCAGGTTGGATGGAGCCCTAGACAGACTGATCTGGTGTGTGGCAACCAGCCCATGGCAGTGCATTCGAACTAGATGATCTTTAAGGCACCTTCCAACCCAAGCCATTCTATGATTCTATGATTTTCGTGTTGTGTCCACAGGTTCTTCCCACTGAAAGAACAGATCTGCAGGTGTTTGGTTATGAAGAAGGG